CTTCTTTGTGGTCTTCTTTTCTGTCCTCCTTGTTTTCTCTTTCTCCATTCTTTTGCTTTTTTCTTCTTCCTCTTTGTCATCTTCTTCATCGTTGTCTTCCTCTTCTTTGTGTTCTTTTTCTTTTTCCTCTTCTTCTTTTGCGCTTTGCCAGATGGCTGTAACTTCTTTAAAGCCAGTTTAAATGGGGCTAAGTGAGACACGTGGTTAATGGTGCTCATTTCAAATCTGCCTTCAATTTCTGGTGATCTTAAACATAAAAACAACTCGTACATGTGAGTCCTGTGACTGAAGGTGATAGGTAGGGAGATGGATTTTGAACTGTATAGATGAGACAGAGTTTGTCAGCAGTGGGAACATCTCTGGAGACAGTTTGTTATTTTAAAGACTGTTGTTTATTCTCGTGACTTGACTTTTGCAGGAGCTGTCGCAAATCATCAATGTGCAGATGTGATAATGAACTGTTAGACAAATGCACAGATGAAGGTTAAGAACAGAAAGTGCATTTGAGTTGCTGTTATTATTAGGGCTAGCTGTGTGTGTGTGTGTGTGTGCGTGCACGTGTGTGTGTGTGTGTGTGTGTGTGCACGTGTGTGTGTGCGTTTCTCGCAGTGTGTTAGAGTGGAGTCTGAGAAAATGACTTTTTCCTAGCCTGCGTCTGTATGAAAAATGGCCTTGAGCAGAGCGCCGCAGCAGAGCAGGAGAAGGAGCACTGCAGGGTGCTCGAGGAGGAGGGTGGGAAGGTCAGAGCACTAGTGCAGGAATACCCAGCAAATAAGAAACAAATACTGAGGCATTGCTGGATGTAAAGAAAATGTCTGACTATTTGTGTAGTTTACTGATATGTAGCTTTATTTATATAGCACCTTTCATCACAGCTCCAAGTTGTTTACAGTATATTTCAATAAAACAGTAAGCTACTGTAACATAACAGTGAATGACAACTTTTTTTTTTCCTGTTCGTCATTAAACCTTCACTATGTAAGACATATTTGTTGAAGCTAAAAGAAGTCAGGTTGGATTTCGCTCATCACGTCATACGTCTGTACATGTTAATGTCACATGCACAGTGTCAAAAAGAAGGTCCAGCTCGATTTTGAGGTCTCAAATACAAAATCAGCGTTATGCAAATAAAAATGTGACAATGGTAAATAATTCAGTCCAAGTTTTGACTGAGTTCTCTGTGAGTTCTCTTTCAGTGTGCTCACAACCATCAGATTCTTCTGCTCAGGAAAGGGTCTGAAGCACAACTGATGCTACAAAATGTTCTTCCAGTTACACATTTCCACCAGAGAAGAATCCAAACTCCCAAAACATACACTGTGTAGCTTTAAAGCCTGTTTTGGTTGTGTTTGCATGATCATGTTGTCACTTTTGAAAGAAGTTTCAGTTGTTACAGATGTGCAGATTCAGCACAGCCTCAGCTAATGCAAAATGGTTTATGCCACTCAATAAAAAGTCCTGTACGCAGGAAATATTTGTCCAGAAGCAGCTTTCCTGATCCAAAAGAGTGAATCATGGTAGATGGCACAGGTGTCAGTACTGGGTCAATAACTGCAGAAATTGCTGGATTGGATGTTGGAGGGAAAAGAAAGGATGAATGTAACAAATCTGTCCTGAAAAAGCGAACTCTCACACGGTGTGATGTCATGTAGTTAGCTGTGTATTGCTTCCTGTTGAGTGTTTGAGACAAATTCTCAAACCTCACCACCTTCTGCAGTCCTGTTAAGACCTAAAATTCATGTTTTACTGATTGTTGGCCTGTATATTTTAATCTCCTAGTAGTCATAGATGAAATATAATGAATATCTGTAGGGGGATTTCAGTATTGGAATGCTGGCACTTGGGTACCCACGTATATCCCTAGTTTCATGAGATAACAACGTAAAGTTTCATCCTAGTAGGATTGGTAGTGAGTTTGGTAGAGTTTAACAAGAATAATGTAGCATTAGAATTACATAAATCTAATGTTTAAGTAGTACTGGACTTATATTGGCACAGTATAGAACACTGCTGTGTTTTTGTTTATTCTTTAATAGGTAATGATAGCTAATAATGTTGTTGACGGTTATTTTCATATATAAAGAACACAAAAGCGGAAAAAATCATAGATTTATAGTCCCAGCCTCTATTTTGAGCAAGCAAACACATCAATAAGAATGATCAGTAATGTCCAAAAGTCTTAATGCCAATAGCATGTATTTAACAGAAAATTACCCAGAAGTCTCGACAACTAAATATAACGTCATATGTTTCAGTGCTTAGCGTGTCCACCCTTTGCCTTTATTACAACTTCCATTCTTTTCAGGAGACTTGCTTCCAGTTTTTCAAGGAAATTTACAGTGATATTTTTCCACACCTCCAAAGTTCAGTCTTAGAGGTTGGTTGCGTTTTCTGCTTCTCACGACCCATGAAGCCCAAACACATTCAGAGATCTGGAGGTTTGGACTCTGGCTTGGCTGGTGCATCGTTCAGAGAACACCAGCAGCTTCTTTGTTTGATTTGCATATTTACTTCTCATTTGTCTCTTTCGTTTTCTCAGACAGCGACCCCTCTTTTTCAGATCTGAAGCAACAGTGGAGCTTGATTTTATCCTCTCTCTCAAAGATGAAAGCCTTAAGTACTGTTCATCTGATGGTGACAGTTTTGGTGGTCTAACAGTAAAGGCAAGGTTGTTGGGCTCATTTTCTTTATATCTTTTATCCACAGAAATATCTCCTGAAAAAAGGACTTAATGGTCGTTTTATTGGAGATTAAATAAATGAAGGGTGATCTTTTCAGCACATTTCAGTCACCTCTCATTGTTATTCTGATGAACCAAATCAATAGTAAGGCCAATGTGGACGAGTACTCTTGAGAAAGGTTATAGTGACTTGAAGGGAGGGACTTTGCTGAAGTGTCTGGACGCATTGGCAATTATAAGTAAGACAGCATTAATATTGTAAGTGACTGTTCTGTATTAAACAGGCCATGAGTTTGGATTACAGCAACACTACACAGTGCCGGAGGTAGTGCTCCCCTAATTAAAAAGTGCTTCAGCTCCGAAGGGGGGCAGGGAAACAGCTCTTCAGTAGTGAAGAAGCCCACAGTGTATTAGGCCCTGCTTTGGGAATACAGCTGAAATCTAGAAAATAAGAGAATTTCCAGGCTGAGCTCACCTCAAGCGCCTCAAAAATCCGCCCGGTGCTACTCACAAACACCGGTCACGGGATGATATTTTATCACGCCAGAATGCCGTGAGGAGCAAAAGTATTACTGTGTTTTGAGTGGAACAAGAAAGATAGCGCCAGCTGGGAGTGCTATTGATATCGGGGAGTATGGGAGAGAAAACAACGAGGCACCACAAACACAAGCTGGGATCTTTTTATCAACTGAAAAATAGTCTACGTAGGTGCACAAATTGCATAATATGAAGGCTTCGGTGCAACAATACAGGTGTCTGGAGAGAAGCAATTGTCTAGGGCATAAAACTATAACCCAGACAATGGTAAACAGATGAAGAGCATTGACTGAGAGGCAGTAGGAGTTCCTCATAGTTGAGTTCCTGAAAATCCCCGATTGTAGTATGTACACAACATAAATAAATAAATTAATTGATGAATAAATAAATAAGTTACATGAATGTAAATAAACCACACACACGTTGTATTAAACATGGCTGGTCATGTAAAGGAATAGAACGTGAATTCACAAAAACAATCACCTTGATTTCCCAGACATTTACATTTATTTTAATGGTTATTACTGTATGAATGGAATGGTTATTCCCTATTTCTAATTTACAATCAAATCGTCTGCCTTGAGGTTTGATCAGAACATTTAAAAATATGAGACAATTGTATTCTTTCATTCTTGATGTTAATGATACAGCTTTCCTCAGTTATTATGGAATCATCTACAGCTCTAATCTTCTCTTTGGACATGTTTAATATGCATTATTTATACTACAGGGTATTGTGTAAAAAATTTTAGGTGCCTGACGAAGCTATTTATCAAGGCGAGAAGTTGTTTTTTGGACAGAAAAACACTCAGAATAACATTATAATACAATACATTTTGATTTTTTTTGTGTAACCATTTCAGTAACACTTAATAACAGGCTCTAATAAACAGCAACTTAATCTTTATCTAGTAGTTTGTTAATGAAATGTCCCACATATACATTGAATTATTACAGATTTTCTTAGTGACATATGAATATTCAATAATTATTTAAACCCAAGCATTGATTATAGTTTATTAGTTTAAATATTTTATATAATTATAATTCTCTTATATTATATAACCAGAAATATTAAGGAAATGTTAAGCAACTTGAAATATTGCATAAAAACAATTCATAACAGTTATAAATTACAGTATAAATTATATGTACTGTTTTAAATGATTAGTTATTTTTTATTTTGCTGCTTTGTGATGCATAAACCTTTCCTTAATGCTGAGTTCATCATTATTAAGTGGTTGATATATACTTTGTAAAATGAATAATCTGTAATTGGACCCTGATTGTAAGATTTTGGCTTTATAATGTAAGATTTCGTTGCTGTCCAAAAGAAAACAAGTGTCTCTAAAATAGAAACTTCACAGCAGATGGCCAAAAAACTTCTGTACTTTTAACAGAAACCTCAGTTCTTCAGACCAGTTTAAAACTATACTATACTATACTATGCTGTACTATAACTACTATAGCTAACATATCCATAGCTACTTTTTTGTATGGGAAGGGGGGGGTGATATATATGATATATATGCTGCAATAATGTTTGTTTGCATTCATTCAAATATCGCATATTGTTTCTACAAGCAAAAATACATTTTTGTCCAGGTAAATAGTTTTAAACAGTTTGCTAGGTGCCATTTGGACAGTACTGAACAATAAAAACAAAAACAAAATTGGTCCTGTGTTATTGAAAACAGTGATTCCAAACTTTTGAATGTTTGGAATCTTATTCACAGGCAGAAGACAGTGAATCATAGTAACTGTGTGTGTGTGTTCTGTGCAGTGGTGATGAAGACATCTTGAAGGATTATGCGGAGCCTTTGAAAGTGCTGGAAGACATAGTGAGAGCGGTGCAGGCGGACGTGCAGAAGGGGTGAGTGGATCTGCTCATTCATTTTCTTAAACTGTCCAAAAGCGCAACGTTGCTGCACTAACTCAGTTATTTCAGGCTCAGTAAATATTTCAGGCTAAACAGCTTTCTGCCAAAGTGCACCAAAGCTCTGAAACACCTATATTCGTTAGATATTTGTGTCCTACCTTCAACACTTTTAAAAAGGGAAATAAAAACGTATTTATTTTGATTGACATTTTTGGGGCTGTTTGTTTTTTTGTGCCAAATAACACTGAGAAGTACAACTCCATCTGAAGTTGTGACGGGGAGGAATATTTCAGGCTAAACTAGCCGCCACACTCCCTGTAAACAAGGTTAGGCTTTCTAATGTCAGGTTTTCAACTGTAAATTATGTGACTTGTTTGTGAAAGTTGTAAAAAGTTTTATAAGCTGTTTTCTCTGTCCATTTTGCGTGACAGGGTGGGCTTGTTATGCATGCTGTCAAGGGCAGAGAAAATATCAAATCATAAATGTTGAATAAAAGCCAAGGTTATTGATGGCTTTATCTGGCTCCTCTGAAGGCTCCTCTTGATTGCGTCACTTAACGACAGTACGTTATTTTTGTGTATGATGGGGAGAAACAAAAAACTCAAGGACACAGATACATTATTATTTTCGTAAAAGTGATGTTTTCATGGAAACATTTGAGCACGACAAAGGTTTGATGTCAATACAACTGTTATTTAGTCATTTTTCAGTTGCCAGTACATACAAAATATAAATAAATACCTAAGCAAATAATAAATAAATAAATAAATAGTTCTATATTGAGTTCATTTGGGGAAAAAAAATGTTCTGTGCAAAAAGTTTGAATTGTCTCTGTAGGAACTTTAGCCCATTCATTCAGAAGAGCATACGTGAGGTCAGATACTGATGTTGGACGACAGGTCCTGGCTCACAATCTCCATTGTAGTTTATCCCAAAGGTGTTCAATGGGGTTGAGGTCAGGCCTCTGGCTCTGTGTGGACCAGTCAAGTTTTTCCTCACCCGACTCACCCAGCCATGCCTATATGGACCTTGCTCTGTGCACTGGAGCTCAGTCATGCTGGAACAGAAAAAACCCAAACTGTTCCCACAAAGTTGGAATCATGCAGTTGTCCAAAATGTCTTGGTTTGCTGAAGGATTAAGACTTCCCTTCACTGGGACTAAGGGGTCTAGGCCGATCCCTGAAAAACAACCCCATTGGCATTATCCCTCCTCTACCAAACTTTACAGCTGGCACAATGCGGTCAGACAGGTAACGTTCTCTTGGCATTCACCAAACCCAGACTTATTCATCAGACTGCCAGGTAGAGAAGCGTGATTTGTCACTCCACAGAATACGTTTTCAATGTAATTTTCATACACTGCACTACTAATGAACTTTAAATTAATACACTTAAGCTTGAAAAAACTTACTAGCAGATGTTTGTCTCTTGGCTTTGAACGTTGTGCACTCTTTTCATGAAATGACTCAGAGATAATAAGGAAATAAAACTTCATATTTATATCACTTTATAAATAGTTTCAGTGTAAAATGTTGCTTGGCAAATAAATAGCCCAGATGTAAAATGTGTTGTCTTTATTATTCATTTTATTTCTGACAAACAGAGTATAAGCTATGGTCATAAGCTAAAGGGGCTTGTTGGACGGATGGACTTTCTGACCGGTGTATAGGCAGGACTTTCTGCTGGCAAACGTGATAAGAACTGTCGCCCCAGATGCCACTCTGTTCAGTTCCAAAGTTAAACTGTTCTTTAACTCTGCCATCTGGTAGCAAAACCAGCCCATGAATAATGAAAAGGTCTCGTCACTGTGAAAGAAACAAGCACTTTTTAGTTTGTTAATTACGCCAAGTTGTTTTCAGTTCATCCTTAAAACACAGGGCAATGTCAGGTATCATTCACTGACCTGATGATGATCTTTAGCTTTTTTTTTCAGAAAAATAGCACCACCTGCAGGACAAATCCTCTGCTGGACACTTTTTTTAGAGCTTTATAATTCAGTAATTACCTTTAAACTGCTTGTATACTGGAAAGACCTAGTTTAATCACACTGGCTTTGTTTTTCCTTCCCTTTCATAGAAAAATGAGACATCAGTCTGAGTGGTTCTCCAGTGTTAGTGCAGGTTAATAAAAATTTGATATGGGCTTTGAGGAAAGCGCCTTGTTAAGTCTGTCCTCCATTGCTTTGTCCCAGGGGAAACGCGGTGTCGTCTGAGGACTTGTTGGCATGGTTACGGCCGTTCTGTGGGGACGACTCGAAGCCTGTGCGACTCAGGATCGAGGTTTTGCAGATTCTGGAGCGTTCTTTCAGCCTCAGCGAAGAGGACATCCGCCTGCTGGTGTTGTTCAGGAGCCAGGCAGTGCTGAAAGCCTGCTGGCCAAGCAGAGAGGTACGCATACTCATATACACACCACCATGAGACACAGCCAGGTGAGGATAGGTGTGGTTATTGGAAAGTACGGATATCCACACTCTTATTATTATTCCTTTACTTAATAGGGTGTTTCAGTAAAGCTGAGTGTGCGTTATGTGATGATGTTGACCCAATTTTTTACTTGGATCAGAAGTGAATTTCCAGGTTGGGAGCTCAATCAAGGGAGACTGACGATGCAGGTAATCTAATGTTACAGGGAAAATAAATTCAGCTCCCCTTAATCCAAGACATAATGTAGTGGTATGAGAGCAGGAGATGTTGGAATGTCCAGCTGCTGTTGTTCTTGCTGGACGTCAGTGATAAGACCTGAAAACTGTGTTTACCCCATTTTCATGTTCACTCTGCGCTTACGTGATTTCATGTTCAGTTCAAGTGAGTGCTGTTAGTTTAAAACGGCACATATTTGAACAGTAAAATGGTAGGGATGTGCATCTCTAGTACAGACGCACACTGCTGCTGTTTACACTTCACACGTAAATATTTAGTTGCCTGGCTGACTGACTGACTGACTCAGTGGCGTTAGTCTATTTCTCGGTGTGACGGTTGAGTTATAATCGTGTTTTCTCGTGCATGAGCGTGTGTGTGTGTGCAGACATGTTTGCAGGAAGCCCTCGTTTGTCCAGGGATTACAAGACGTCTGCTTTGCTGTGCTCTTTCTGCTCGATCTTCACTGCTCGGGGGAGCAGAGCGTGACATTGGTCCATTCAGTGGGTCATCACCACAGCGTCCACACAACCTCCACATAACACATGAGAGCACAAGACAGAGGAACATAAACCCTCCAGACATATTCTCTCTCTCTCCCTCTCTCTCTTTCTTTCTCTCTTTTTCTCTGGCTTTCTTGCTGCCCTTCACTTGTTCCCTCTCTCTCTCTGACTCTCTCTCTTGTTATTTCTTTATCTCTCTCACTCCCTCTCTCTCTCTGACTCTCTCTCTTGTTATTTCTTTATCTCTCTCACTCCCTCTCACTCTCTCACTAGCCACGTTTACATGCAGCCTGATAATCCGTTAATAATCCGACTAATAGCTCAATCGGAATAGAACACGTCCATGTAAACACCTCAATCGGAATAGACTAGTCCGATTGAGGCCATTCGGAATACAATTTCTATCCGATTGAACGAGGTGGGTAAACTTCTAAATAATCCGTTAAATAGAAGAATAATAGCCATGTAAACGCCTGAATCCGATTACATTCCAATCGGAACGTGTAAGTATGTTCTGCGCATGTGCGTCGCGTCATGGCGAAAGTTTATACCGTTCAGCATGGCGGAGCAGAAACGGGTCTGCAGAGGAGACGAAGTTTATGCTCTGAGCTTTAAAAGACGGCGGTGGGACGGACGACCAGCTTATGAGTCTCAGAACACGACGTCTTCCTCTCGCCGCTTCCTTTATAAGGACATGTGAAGCACGTTTTCCTGAGTCTGACATCATTTTAAAGCAATTAAAACACAAGCGCGCCAACTGGAAACTCATTTCACGCGGACTGGACCTCACGTGATGTTCGCTGTCATGGTAACGTTTACTCTAAACGCTGCTCCACGCATGCGCGTCATTTTGCATCGGATTACTTGTAGTGAGCATGTAAACGAAGATTTTCCATCAAATCGTTGAATAGAGTGTGCATATAAACACCTCAGTCTGAATCTGTAATCGGATTGTATTCAATCGGATTGGCAAAAATCTTTGCATGTAAACATAGCCATTGTCTCTCTCGCTTTCTCTCTCTTTGTCTGTCTGTCTCTCTCTCTCTCTCTCTCTCTCTCTCTCTCTCTCTCTCTCTCTCTCTCTCTCGCTTTCTCTTTTTTATCCCTCTTTCCGTCTGCCTCTCTCTTTTTTCTTTTTCTAGCTCTCCTTCTCTCTCTATCTGCTTCTTTCTTTTTCTTTCTTCTTTCTTTCATTTTTTCCTCCTTTCTCTATTACTTTTTTTCACTCTTTATCGCTGTCCTTCACCTGTTCCTTCTCTCTCTCTTTGTCTTTCTTTATCTCTTTTGCTCCCTCTCACTGTCTCTCTCACTTTGTCGCTTGTTCTGTCTCTCTCTTATCTCTTTTGCTTTCTCTGTTTATCTCTCTTTCTGTCTTCCTCTCTCTCACGCGTTTTGTCTCTTTTTTCTGACTCTCCTTTTCTCTCTCTCTCTAATTCTTTCTCTGTTTCTCTTCCTCTCTGTGTCTCTCCTTTTCTCTGTCTGTATCTCTCACTCTGTCTTTTTTCCTTCTCTCGGTTTGCCCCTCTCTCACTCTTTCTCACTTTCTCTCTCGCTCTTTCTCTCTTTATGCCTATCTCTTGCTTTTTTCTTTCTGTCTCTCTTTTTCTCCTCTCTCTCTCCCTCTCTCTCTCTTTGTTTTCCTCTTTGTTGAGTGCCCTTGTACTTTTTGAAGAGAGGGAGAAGAGGATGAAAAAAGGAGCGAGAGCTGGGAGAGAAAAACCTATATTTCGTTTAAGATCCACCTGCAGTGTCATCACATACTGTGTGTGTGTGTGTGTGTGTGTGTGTGTGTGTGAGAGAGAGAGAGAGAGAGAGAGAGAGAGCTCTGAGGGGGCTGTGTATTAAAACTGAAGTACTCTTGTAAAAAGACTCAGTAAAAGATGGCTGGATGGGAAGATAGATGGGTGAATAGATGTACAGATGAGTTTTTAATGTGAGTCTGCTCTTTAGATGGGGAGCCTCAAAGCGCTGCGTGAGCTGTTCATGTAGTACTGTGTTAGTTTTTAGAGTGTAGGTCCATTAAAACTTTCTTTATCCTGCGCTAATACAATAGGCCCCACCAACCTGTGAGATGGTCTGCCGCACACACCTTTCTCCATAAACAAACATGTCAGCTAATTTTCTGCACACACAGCATCTTTGAACAGCTGAGTGTGCTTGGAGAAGAACGCTACAACATCGCTGCATTGGAGTGTGATCATAATTAAAAATCAGAATTTAAAAAGACAGAATTAAAATGAATTACAAGCCAGAATTAAATTAAAGCGTCTTGAAGCTCTTGCGAGTTGTAGCGTCAGCAGCCTCAGCAGTGTCACTTTTGAAATGACCCCTTTAACACACACTAACTGGCCACTTTATTAGCAACACATCCGTTTTAGGTTCAATATGCCTGTGTATTTAGAGAGTACAAGCACGAGTACAAGTTTTATGTTCAGTGTTGTACAAGGTTAGTCTTTTGTTTACTGTAACCATCTACCTCTCTGTCTTAAGTGAGTGCAGTGTCATCAGCATTGTCATTAGCTTGGGAATTTATAGCCAGCAGTGAACATTACAGCATCATTTTTTTTGTCTTCTTACGTATTGTAATGTTCAGAGTCATGTACTTGAAGTATGACCGTGCATATTGGTGCTACAAAATGCTTTTTTACTGGCTGTGTACTTGTGAAAAACACAAACATTTTTTATAGGTTATTATGGAATATTTACCAACAAGGTAGTTAGCGTGGGATAATAATGTAACCTAGACATATTTCTATGGTTTGTTTTGTAGTCTATACTGGTATGGGAGCACACTGCAGACTGGGGTTTGATCCCCCACCTGGGCAAGCACTACACCAATAAGAGTCCTTGGGCAAGACTCCTAACACTACCCTCACCCACCTCTGTAAAAAACAATCAAATTGTAGGTCACTCTGGATAAGGGCGTGTGCCGAATGCCATAAATGTAAATGTAAATGTAAAACTAATCCCATCCCAATAGTACTATAATCTGATAATAATTACATTACCCCGACCACTCATGTAGAACTAATCCCGTCCCAGTAATACTACAATCTGATAATAATTACATCACGCCACTCCCCATTTAAAACTAATCCTGTCCCAATCATACTATAATCTGATAATAATTACATTACCCCACTCCCCATTTAAATTAATCCCGTCCCAGTAGTACTATATTCTGATAAAAATCACACCACCCCACCTCCCCATGTACAAGTAAACCCATCCCAACAGTATTGTATTCTGTTAATAATTACAATACCCCACTTCCCCATGTACGGGTAAGCCAATTTCAACTGTATTATGTTGTGTTAATACTTACATAATCCCACTTCCCCATGCAAAGCAAATCCACTACTAATAATACTGTACTCTGGTAATACTTAGATTACCCCATCTCCCCATGTAAAACTAGTACTAATATTGCTGTTCTCTAGTATTATTTACACTACCCCACCTCCCCATGTAAAACTAAACAACCTCCCAATAGTACTATACCTTTCGTAATACTTACATTACCCCACTTCCCCATGCAAAACTAATCATGTACTTAAAGTGCTTTATTCTGACATTAATTACACTAGCCCGCCTCCTCATATAAAAATAATCCTGTCCCAGTAGTACTGTATTCTGATAGTTACATTATCCCATCTCCTCATGTAAAACTAATCCTGTCCCTATAGTATTATATTCTAATAATAGTTACACTACCCCACCTTCTCATTTACAACTAACCATGTCCCAACAGTATTATACTCTTGTAATACTTACCTTATCCCACCTCCCCATGTAAATCTAATCCTGTAATAATAGTACTGTGCACTGGTAACACTTGCATCACCCCACCTCCCCATGTACAACTAATCACATACTTATAGTACTGTACATCACCCCACCTCCCCATGTCAATCTAATCCCATCGTAGTAGTATTATACTCTTTACCCCATTTCTCCATGTAAACCAAACCCCATCCTAATGATACTTTAATAAGGTGAGCGGAAGCGCAAGGTAGGTTTTTTTAAAAAGTGGATGAGTGTACGTTTGCATATGTGAGCTGTGTCTGTTATACAGTAGGGCTGTTTTAGAGACCGGCGTGCAGAAAAAGCTCTAATGAAGTTAAATCCTTCCCTTGCCAGTTCTCAGTGTAGGACTTCAGCAGTAATACCTGCATGTGTTCAGTTGACGTGCTCAACCGCATAATTGTTTAATTTGCTGAACCTGAATAATGTAAATGACCCCGTGTT